TTAGACAATGAACTATTTGCCATGAAAGTTTGACCTTTCTTCTAGAATAACATACGATCATTAATTATTTGTCTTAAGGAATATCTTTCTTAGTGGATCGATTTCATTTCATATGCACATCGTTACTTTTTGATCGCTTGTTCACTCTTTAATAATATTTCATTTGATCATTTTAGAAATAATAACAAAACTTGAAATGAACTCTATCTCATCAAGTTGTCAAACCAAGCATTAAGATAATACGATAGGACAATGTCAAGACGATAAGTAGAGAAGAGAGAAAATGACACTATCGATCACAGTGAAAATAACTAGAGATTTAGTGAAAATGTTAGATCGATAAGGCGTTGACATTTAGCACAAAAGATAACAGATTCAGTTCCAATGTTTATCATTTATCAATAGGTATCTATCTATATATGTGCGTCTTGCATTCCATAACTGACTGTCATCTTTGTTTCGATCCATTGGCCTTCCTCTTTTCCTTTTGCCTTGAGGGTTCCATGTGAGGGCTTATCTTATGACGCAGTTCGGTGCTTTTCGCAGTGTGTGTCCTATCCACTTCCACCTGTTTTGCTTGATTTCCTCTTCCACTGGAATCTGGTTTGTTCTCTCCCACAGTGTCTGGCCAACGAATCCGAAGTATTTTGCGAAGACAACTGTTCATAAATACTTGTATCTTCTGGATGATGGCTGTAGTAGTTCTCCATGTTTCCATTCCAATCAGTAGAACTGTTTTGACATTTGTGTTGAAAATTGTGACTTTGGCGTTGATTGATATTTGTTTGGAGTTCCAGGTGTTTTTCAGTTGTAGAAATGCAGCCCTCGCTTTGCCGATCCGCGCTCTCATATCTGCATCGGATCCACCTTGATTGTCGATGATGGTGCGCAGACATGTAAAGGTGTTAACGTCCTCCAAGGCATCTCCATCAAGAGTGATTTGGTTGGCGCATTTTGTGTAGTATCGTAGAATCTTACTTTTCCCTTTATGTATGTTGAGACCTACTGCTGCAGAGGCTGCTGCTACACTGGTCGTCTTCTCTTGCATTTGTTGTTGCGTGTGCGATAGAAGAGCCAGGTCATCTGCGAAGTTCAGATCGTCCAGCTGCGTCCTAACTGTCCAGTTGATACCGTGCTTCCCTCCAGATGTCGACGTCTTCATAATCCAATCGATCACAAGGATAAAGAGAATGGGTGAGAGTAAGCAACCTTGCCTGACACCGGTCTTCACCTCGAACGAGTTTGTCAGCTGACCTTCGTGCACGATTTCGCAGTTTAATCCATCATAAGAATTTCGAATGATGCTGACTATCTTCTCAGGTAGTCCACCTGTAGAATCTTCGGGGTTAGTGCCATTCCCAAGCCCGGACAAAGAAGGAGGGCTGGGCATGAGGATGGCGACGCCATCCTATCAAAATACTGACTTGCCAAAGAAACGCTAAGTAGAAAAAAATTTAGATCAGTACTGAACATTCCATAAACATGATAGCAAACACTACCTGGTGAATCGGTAGTCGCCTTGTTTGACTGGGAAACTAGCTGAGTTTGAGTTCGAATCCACCGAGATGAATTAGTTGCTTTAAGTACCTAGATAAATTTAGGTAATTCTTCTTAAAAAGATGAACTTGATATTCTTTGAAAAATATTATGACTTAGATTGTAATGCTTTGAATTATCTCGTTGTTCATATTTTGACCGGAATTTCAATGACTCTTAGTCAGTATATGTACATCGGTGTTCCAGAGTGAAAATGACAGATACTTTCAGCTAATGATTATCAAATAAAACAAAATATGCATCGCGGATTCCACTGTTGGTCATAATTCAACTATTATTCTGCATAAAGAATATAGAGATCGTAATGAATATTCGGAATTTATGTTGTCTCAAGCAGTTATTTTAATTAGTCAGTTAGTTATTTAAGAAATGTAGAATTTGGTACATATGTTCATTGATTAAAGTTGTCACACAGTCTTTAGCAATCAATAATCTTCAGTATTCCGATCACACGGAAATATGCATTAAAAACATTTTGTACTAATGCTAGTTAGTGGTTTTAAATCATGCCGTTTTAATTCTCTAACTAGTAGTTTGAACCTTCGAATATGGTTCAGATCAATCAATAGTTAAAAACTTCATAGAAAATTAATGTCTAAGTTTTGTCACGCCTAGTTTACAATCTAACTTTTTATCTGTTTAGCATCATGAATCAAAATAGATAGATGGTAATTGGTTATGTATTACACGTATCTCATTCATTTCAGCCGATGAATATTTAATTGTTTCATCTATTTACTTATCGACTTAGAGTTATTTGTTCCGGTTGGCGTTGTTTTTGGCAAGTTGATTTTCTATGAGATGAAGTCGAAAACTCCATACCCAGCTCTCCTCCTTTATCAAGGCTTGGGATCGTCAATAACCCTAAAAGGGCTACAGGTGGACTTGTCGATTTAACCTACTAGACTGAGTCGAACTTCAGTATTGATCACTTAAAATGTTCAACCGCATGTATATAATGTTTTGAAGATATCTTTGGTCAAACAAAAGTAATTTACTTATGTCTTCTACTTTTAAATGCTATATTTTATAGTTATAAGGCATATTAAGAAAATTACTACTCAGTATACTGTTCCTTTGGTTAATACACGAACATATATATATATCAACCTAAATTATTACGATTCCTATTGAACTTTTGTACAAGTAATTGAGAAAGTATGTTTACTATTGAAATCATGTGTAAATCATTGTTAGGTCACCACTATCAGAAACACACAACAACTGGACGGCCGTCAAGTCCTGGTATAGGACCCATCAGCAGTGCGCGTCTACAATTCCCGCTACTCGCATGGATCGAACCCAGGATCTTAGGTCTTGAGCTCGGACGCTTAACCTCTGAACCAGAAAACGCTAACCACTGAGCTGACATCCAACCGTGATAATGCCTGACTCTAAGGTTTCGTGCAACCCCACCCATTGTCTTCGATAGTTACTGCCTACATCCGACAGGGTTCAGCCTCATCGGTCACGTCTTCTCATTAGGACTCTGAGAATTTCCTCACGAACCTCTAGTCACTAGTGCGCACATTGTACAATTTTTCATGATAGAGTTATGGAGATGCTATACCACGAGTTGACAGCCATTCAGTTGCTTGTATGTTTCTGATAGAGATCTAACAAAGATTCATTCATAATTTCAATAGTAAACAACATTCTCCATAACTCAACAATAAGAAAATATATGTTGACTTTTTTTTCAGAAATGAAAATACACAAGTTAAACAAAAAAATTATTTTGATTGAAGAAGGAAAATTGAGTGATTGATTAATATGTAAACAAACAAAAGCATAAAATTATGTCGTAAATCAAACAACTACCATCGGCTTTTGCCCAGTGATTTTATAAAGTGTTAAGTGTTAAAATTTAAAACATTAGTTCGAAGAGATGAATTGCATATATCGTCTCAACTATCCACACTCATGACCTGTATGTACAATACAACCTTTCACATAGGAAATCATCAATATTTGCTTGAGTTTACTATTTGTAAGAGTTTAAATTAATTCACTCTTGATAGTGAATATTGAATGTTGATCATGGTGGTAGTGTTTGGTTCTCTGAGCTGGGTGTTTTGGTTGTGAAGCTTTCATTGTTCTTCTTCTGAACAACATCATTATCAGCACAAACTTCAGATAGAAGTGAATCATTCGAATTTCTCCACGCTTGACCTGTAGCTTATTCTGCTAACCTCGATCTTGATCAGTCTTTTTTTTAGGAATATGTGAATACTCAATGGATAGCCTTGTTATAATCAATTTATCGCAAATTTCGAAGTCAGATGGATAGTAAACAGTATTTAGGACCCATCAACTAGATGTACCCAAATCCTATAGTTTTGATGTTCACATATTGAAAATTGAACTCACTACTTTCCACTTCAAATGTCAATACACGTTATCTACTGAACTATTGAATTCAAATAGACATCAATATTGATTATTTGAATATGCTTTTCAAAACTTTATTGCTATTCATTATTGAACTGAATGAAAAAATGAAGAATTACAAAACCATCAATGATAAACTATCAACTTTTCAATCAACTATGGATCATCATAGAGAAAGAAGATTGAGGAGGACATGAAATTTTATTGAACGAAATGATTGAATTGTCGGAACTCAATGAAAAATGCACAAGTTACTTAAGCTTTTCTTAATAATAATAGGTCTCTATATATATATATTATGTATATATACATAGAAATTCGCTAAAATTTTCTTCCGAGTTAGGTAGTAGTAATCGTTACAGACACACAGGTCATTTTTTTTTCTTAGTTTTGACAAAATACAATTTTAGCCAAGTCCCCAATCCCATTTGTCAGGGGGTTTAGGAACAAAGCATAACCTAAGGGTTGAGGTAGCTTGAAAAATCCGAGAAAATTCTACGCCACTGCTCGAGGCTGATTTTTTCATTGAGACTGGTTTATTGAAATATTCTATTTTGTCCTAATTTTTCATTGGTTAAGGTACCCCAATGGCTAGTGAGAGAACCGTAGAGAGAGACACGTAGCGGTTAGTGTGTGTGTCTAGTTATGTGTGTATATATTTAACCAAAACATAAGCCTTGAGAGAGAGAGAGAGAGAAAGAGAGAATGAAAGGAGGGACCACGTACAATGAAGTTAGCCTGATCCAAGAGATGGCCCTCTAATATTGTTTGTCTCTCATTCGTTCGTTCATTTTATTATAGTGTTTGTAACAACAACAAAACATGCCCGAAAAAGTTAAAACTACAGGCTCCGCAGCCCTAAGTGCGTCACAAGCTCAGGTTAGTCAAGTAGTTGACCACGCTTTCTTATTGGTTAAAATTAGCTAGCTTATCATAAGCCAATCAGAATGTCGAACTGCGACCTGCATTTCGATTTTACCAACTTGGTCTTTCTTTCGCCCTTTAACTGTCACTATATAACAATATTGAGGGTAGAGATTAGAACGAGAATTATTTGGAACCCTCAATTATTTTTGGGCGTGGACAGATTAATTTTCCCATTCATATATAAAAATATTCTGCCCTGTCACCCCGCGTGGGTGATATATAATAACACCAATGAAATATTTAACTAAAAAACGGGTTAGATACCCTCACATAAAACCAATGATTGTTGCCTTACGATGTTTGGATCTAACTTCTATTTTCTAACTCTATCTACGTCTAAAATATCATGTGATTACGACTGTACATTTTTACTTAACACTTGGAATTTCACCAATCTATTTGGAAACATATCTGTGGATATTTTTAAACCACAATCATAAACATGCTTCATCGACCTACACTTATGCCTCCATCAATGAAATCATCTACAAAATTCAACCTTTCCACAAATTCACCACATTCATCTCAATCAATCAAAATTGAAAGTCCAGAATTAATTCAACTTTTCAACTGTAATGATGATGATGATGAAATTGTGGTTGTTGAACCGACAGATCCAGATGAAGATCGAATGAAACAGGAAGAGACAACATTTGAAGATGTATTGAACAAGAAACAAGAAGATCATAACGAAGATGATCACAATGGTAATGAAACAGACATGAATTCAACTGAATCCAACATGCCAGTGTCAGTTGGTAAGGTGGATGAACCGATTAGAAGCGAAACACAAAACGAAGCTCCGATCACCGTAACCACGGATTCGGTGAGACCCATTAGCATCTTACCTCTGAATGATGCCATTCAAACTCTTTTAACAAGTACACCACATGTTCCCACTATACAGAATGTCTCGATTCAACCTATACTACCAGGTAAAGTGAGTGGATCAGGAAGTGTACAGAACCCGAGTGTTGTTCCCAGTGTATTGCCTACACTGTGGCTCCATTCTCCTGTTGTGAATCCGACGGCCATTAGTGTGCCAAATTTGAATAACATAACAGATTTGACGAATAATATTGTGCAGAATACTACGAATGCACTGAACCCACTTGTTGCTGCTGTACTTGTCAACTGTGCTACAGTGAACATGATCAGTCAACTAGCAGGATCTATGTGTAGTCCGATCATGAACAGTCTGATTGATGCAAATGTTAGTGTTGGTAACATGAACAGTAATAATAGTAATAATAATAATAATGTAAACCAGAGTGGAATTAGCAGCAGCAGCAGTAGTAGTGGTGTGAACACTGTGACAATCCCTACAGCGTCAATACTTCCTAATTTATTATCTGCCATCCCTTTGTCTACTTATATATCTGGATTAACAGTGAATACAACCACCAATGCAGGTATATTTAGTTCAGCGAATAATGCGTGTGATGTTGGTGTTAGTAGTGCAGTAGTATCGTCTACTGGAACTCTCAACACGAATAATAATAATAATAATAGTAATACTGTGGGTAGTATGATCATTGCACCATCAAAAATGGAGAATATAAGTACAGTTTCATTATCATCTGATCATAATTCTAATCAATCGGAATACTTACATATATCTGATTCTAAAAGTAATCAACAACGACCTATTGGACGTGTAAAACGCTTTAAATGTCCTATATTAAATTGTCAAATGTCATTTTATAGTAGATTTAATCAAATGGAACATATACGTACACATACTGGTGAACGTCCATTCACTTGTCCTGAACCACAATGTACTTCAACATTCAAACGTAGACGTGATCTTCGTGATCATTGGAGTATGCATCTGTTAGATTGTCCACCTTCTGCTACATTGACTGAAGAAGAATTTAATAAAGCATTAAAGGAAGCTGATGAAAAATATAATGCAATGTATAACTTTGAAACATTGAACTTAAATGCTTCAGTAAATAAAAGTAATAACAGTAATAATAATAATAATAATAGTTATGAGAATAATGATAGTAATAATAATAATAATAATAATAATAATAATAGCAGTAACAATGTAACAATTGTAAAGTCAGAATCATCTCAACCACCTGTTATTATAACCGATCCTAGAGCACTATTTAACACAAAATCTGTTAGTCAACTAGGTAGATATCATTGTACATATCCAGGATGTGATAAATCATACGCTAGAAGACATCGATTAAATCAACATATATCAACACATACTGGCACTGGTCCAATACCTTGTGATGCACCAAATTGTAATGTGAGATATTTTTCCGAGGAAGATTTAAAACGACACAAATTATCACATCTTTATGCAGCTGATAAAGATTCACGTCGTAGACATGCTTGTACATATGCTGGTTGTGGAAAAGCTTATTCAAAATTGAATAAATTGAAGGAACATCTAAGATCACATACAGGTGAAAGACCATATGTTTGTCGAGAACCTGGTTGTGGTGCTGCATTCATTCGACTATATGGTGTTAAACGTCATGAATTAACACATGTATTCGGTCGTAAACGTGCTGAACGGCTGTCTCAATTACCTAACACTTTAAGTAATAATAGTATCACTGAAACTAGTTTTGATATTTCTGAACCAAGATTGGATCTTCAGAATAATTCAGAAATAGTTACTAGTTCACCATATATCTTACCAAAGCCAATAGAACCATTGGAAGTAAAAAATGAAACACCAATAGCACCGGCTATTCCAAAAAATCGTACTCTTCCAGCGATTGCACCAAAATCCACTGTTTCACTTCCTATGCGTCCAATTTCTCCGATTAGTGGAAATCCTGGAATGCGACGACCACATATTTGTCCATTTAAAGAATGTGGTAAAGCATTTCCGAAATTGAATAAACTACGTGAACATATATGTCGACATACTGGTGAAAGACCATTTGTATGTGATAAATGTAAAGCTTCCTTTGTTCGTATGTACGATTTACGTCGTCATAGTAATATTCATCTTCGTGGTGCACAACCAAGAAGTTTGTCACGTTTTCTTCCAACTCCACAACAACCAACAAACCAAACACTTCAATCTATTGTCTCAAGCGGTCAAACGTATGCTAGTACCGGTTCTGTTACTACTACTACTACTACTGTCACTACTACTAGCACCAATAGTAATAATAATAATGTTTACACTACTCCCATTGTTACTTCGACAGCTTCTACAACCAAAGATATCACAAATCCTACAAATTCCATCATTTCTATCGTTCCTGTTCATCCTCCTATCCGGACACTGATCACTACTAAAGTTGAAGATCAACCAGCAGTACCAGTGAAAATGGAAGAAATTACTGACAAATCAATAATAACGAAGCAACCATATGATACTACTACTACTACTGATACTACTGATAATAATACTAATAATAATAATAATCAGGTAACAGATTACATTGATCAGTAATATCATCATACATTTTGAAATCATTTTTAACTGATCATTTTTACCAATGGTTGTTAGATAATCGATGAAAATTATAGTAACAATAGAACAACTCACACTGTCTAGACGATGCACAACTTATCAATGTAGTTGATTTGTTAATGAATATACTGTGTTTCTGTTTTGTTTTTTTTTTCTGGTTTCACTGCAAATGTCATTTCATCATTGCAACAATCACATCGACCAACAACTAACTGTATTCATCCAATTCATTTTTCATTTGTTCAGTGTTGTTTAATCAGTTGTTTTTTTCTCAGCATTGTTCAATTTACCATAGTTTTCATGTGACCTTGTGAATTTTATTGATTTGTTAATTTGTTGGTTTGTTTTTCTCTCTCATCGTTATCATTCAAATTTCAATCGATACATTGATGATGTCTGATTTGCGTTATCTGGTTTTCTTTATTTTTTTTTCGCCCTATTCTAGAATGCAATGTATAGTTTTGTTATTGTTGTTGTTGTTGAAGAAGACTATTTATTATAGAGATGAAACAATGTACAATATTGAATAATCATGTAACAGTTCAATTGTTATTTCTCATTTTCAATATATTCATGCGTATGCAATTTTGATGTTTATTATTTCTTGATATCGTTTTTGGTGAATACTTTACATTTTTCATAATGTAAACATACTTTAATGGGAGATGTAATTTTGCATAGTTTGATTCAACTTTTAGTGGGGCTGAATTGTCTGTAGATTTCGTTTAATTAGTGTACTACTACTGTGGTGCGAGCTACTTATAAGTAGTATATGACGTGAGTGTCAACGTAATGTCTGGCAGCAGAAGATGGGGGAAAATCAAGAAAGGAAGAGTTAGAAGAACACAATGGAATTTGTATGAAACGCATCATGAATAGTGACAATGGATTGATGTTTTGCAACAGGAACAGTCCAGTTCGATACGATGAACTGATATCTTGCAAATGAACGATTTACGATATGGTTTTCCGATTTTACTGAGTAACTCTGTAATTTTCGTTGAATACAATCCGGTTGCTCCACCTGTGTTCTCGTTCACTACACTACTTCTACTACTACTACTAGTCTAAGCCAAGGAGTATGAGACTATTCAACAACTGATATCTTTGACGGCAGTCGATATGGAAGCCTTAACTTTTTCAAGATCTTATGATGCATGCGGAAAGATTAAATCGAATAGGTTCCTCCTGTTTAATTCTACCATTACAACTTCGATTAGTTTTCGATAGTATGCGGGTTATTTAATGCTACCGATGATAAGTTTGTGTCAATATCAATCAAGCCTGTGTAGGCATGATTATTGATTGTCTAAAATTGCAGATGCTGTAGTCATTGATTTTCTTTTTTAGCCCTCATTACTCTCATGTTTCTAGAAGATATTTTTCGAATCACAGTGATTGGATGATACATTGTGATTAGATTGACCTGTAGATTGATTGATTTGTCATATACACTGCTGAACGGATGACCTTAGCTTAAATTGGGTGTATCATATAACTAACAGAACTTGGGTGTTGTAATTCTTAACTGAATAATGTACACATACAATGTAGACATTTTCAATTTTGAATTTCTTACCAATAATCTACTATTTCGTTTAACTCTTCATGTAAGAGAAAATGAAGTTAGTGTGTGTATTTATTATCACATGAAAGGTTTCGTTTCTTTCGGATTCTTAATGGTGTTTGATATGGTCGACCTTGAACTTACGGCTCAGTAGGTGAAATTCGAGTGATTTAACCTCACAGAATTAAAGCCTTCATATTTGTTCAATAATATAGTCTACTTTAAATCACGTAAAAATATCACACTTCAGAAAACACAAAGATAAGTTTCTTCAGATTACCTAGTTTTTTGTTATCATTCATTTGTAAAGAACTCGTTCGGTTCTGCATGAGGTCATTCATGGCCCCAACAACTCAGTGGTAATGTCTAAGATTGAGGACATGGGTGTCCTCGGATTCATATTGGTTGATCCGTTCCCTCAAGATTCCAGGTATTCCTCGGGGACTAGTGCTACTCATACTTAATCGACAGCATTAAATCACTAGTGATTCGGTAAACATGACATTGTTCACTACTCAGTGCCCAATGTTGCTGCTACCTTGACGTGGTGGTTGGGATTGCCTATAGTGATGTCCCAACCGAGCTATATTGACTGGAACATATGTTCCTGTAGGTTCTACTATGCCAGGCAGGTCGACTGAAGAACGGTAAGAGTAAAAGTAGCAACTTAAGGTCTGAGGGCGAGGTTGTACTTCTGACTATAGAGAGGTGTGACAGCAGTAAGGTGTTCCCCTCGGACATACGGCATCTGCGGAGATGGTGCCTTTTCACAATGGAAGGAAGGAGTTAGAAAAGTTTGACCCTAAAAATGTTACACCTCACCTTACCTCACGGATTCCCGTCTACAGTAGTAAGGCTTTTTGATGAGCGGAGCTAACACTTTGAAAACTACCCATAAAAAGACCTAGTGTGACCGGCTTCAAGCAGTTATTCCTTGGTCTCTGCAGTCACGCTCCCACGTCTCTAAGACCAACACTAATCCAACTTCTTTTCCAGGTTCCTCAAGAAATACGCTTTCACAATGTGGGCAGCCGATAAGTGACAACCGCCCTCATACCCATAAAAGCACATGAGACCAAATCGGTCAGAATCAAATCCTTCCTACTTCCCCTAACATGTCCCTCATCTCCATGTCTAACTCTATTCACTTCCCTTTATCACCCCGTACCACTGATGCAAGCGATTTGAGTACACGAAACGTTATTCCTGGTCTCCTAAAACCCCGTTCTGAACTACCTATTGGAGCTTTTAATGTTCGAACCATGTGTCAAATAGGACAACATGCTTCCTTAGCTAGGACTTGAGAATCTCGCGCCGTCTGTGTATGGCGCGTCTCCGAGACTTGCATACAGGATCTGAGCAAAATTAATAATTTGATTGCAACGTGTCCAGAGAGAGAATCAATCCGGTTTACGCTTCGTGTGTCTGGAAGCCCTGCTGCTGCTTCCCGTGGCGTCGCTGGTGTAGGCATAGCGTTGAGTCCTAGAGCAGAACTAGCCCTCTTAGATCGGACCCCAGTAGGAAGTCGCTTGTGCGCTGTCCGACTAAACGGGACAGTTTGAACTCGTAAAGACAGGGACACATGCCGCTGTCTCTTCTTTGTTTCTGCCTACGCTCGCAATGACTGCGGTTTAGACGTGGTAAAAGATGAGTTTTATAGAAAGCTTTCGAGCCTCCTCCAAAAGGTTAGGCACTCTGACATAGTAATAATGACTGACGATTTCAATGCTCAAGTAAGTTGACTACGTGTAAAGGAAAGACACCTGGGTAGATCTTGTGGGGTCGCGGCTCAGAGAACAGATAATGGCGACCGTCTGCTTCAGCTGTGCTCAGATAACGGTTTATTCCTAGCAAATACTAACTTTAAGTATAAGGAAAAACATCTTTTGACATGGTGAACCCCGAAGTCGTCCAAACGCTGGACCCAACTAGATCATATCGCTATCTGCCAGCGATGGAGGGGTTCGATAGAGCACCGGGGCACATGCTTAGATTCAAGTTAAGCTCTAGTGCCAGCGGGTATTTTTTTCGGCTCACTGAATGTAAGAAAGGCTCTGCAAAGGAACCTCTTAGGGTCCTACTTGATGATGGCATAGCTAGGAATATATTTCAGGAACAACTAGAAAAACAGTTAGGTGGCTATGTAAGTGATTCCCATCCAGAGACAGCTTGGGACGATTTCCGAAACCCTGTGGAAACAGAAGTGATATCTGCTAGTAAGCTAAACCATAAGGTATAGAGATAAGCTTTGGATCTCAGTCGCAGCTGATGAAGAGCGGAGTTAGTTTAAGCGCAGGTTGATAAAAAGCCTACGCAATGATGGCAAACAATAGTGGTTAGCGAAAGCTAGAGCGATGCAAAAGGCAGTGATGATATGTAACAGTGGACAACTGTTCCGCTTTATCAAGGAAACTGATACTAGGAATCCACCTGTTAGCGAAACTATCTCAGAAAAGGATGGGCTTATTATTCATTTTGAATCCGAGAGATTGGATCGATGAGTATAACACTAAATCTCATCACTGATACAGAAGGCTCGATTGGCTTCTGTTAACTTGTGTCACTTATGGCGTAGGTGAGATATCCGTTCTCTAACCAAAGGACGAGTGTATTTCGCATCAGTTTGCCCCATCCTCTTATATGGCTAAGAAACATGGCCGGTAAAAGTTGAGGATATTCTTAGGTTACTGGTCTTCGATCATAGGTGTCTTTGAAGCATTGCTCATGTATCCTGGGACAACCGAGTAAGCAATGCTGGTGTTAAGGGCGGCCAAACCAAAACACGTTACAAATCCATCGCGTCACTGACAAGTGAAAACTACCTGATTGGGGTCCGCGAGACGAAAGTCACCGATGGTTAGAGACCTTGAACGACATGGCTCAAAATCGCTTGTTATGGCGCAGGTGCATCTACTCTTTGTGTTCTGTCGAATTCTAACCTTCTGAATTCCTCATCATCTCTATCTTTCTCTTTTTAAATTTATTTCACTGAATTACACTTCTTGAATAATTCCTTCGAACTCTAATCTTCTCCATTACCGCTAATACTTCTGTTATCTCTATCACTATGGGATTTGAACTGACAATCGCTTCTCTGTGCTAATGTGGTATCACGACTTGAACTTATGTACTTTACGTACAAAGTTCTACGTTGTAACTGACTGTTATTTCGTGGGTTTTATGATGTTAATTAACCAAATAATTATACTTTTAGGATATTTTTCCGTTCATCATAATGATTTTTCTAATAATTTCAGCTTACTTATCGAAGATACTGAAATAGTAAGAACAACAAATCAGCAAACATTTGTAACAATTCTATTCTGATAATACTATGAATGACAGTTTTATATTGATAAAATCACTATAATTCAATGTTCAAAAGAATTAAGTCATTTCCATAAACAGCAGTGTTATAATTTGATCATAACGAATACATCATGCTGAGAATGAAAAGCTCAGTTGAAGATTGATAATATATAGAAATGATAATTTATACTTTTCCGTTACTGATGAACATTACTTCTGAACAAATGAATTTTTTAATGCTATAACTTTTCAAATCTCTCTCTCTCTCTAAATATATATATCAGTAAAAATGTTATTTATTTCAAAACGTCACTCTACCTGAATCGTCAGTAAATATGTTATCCATTTTTTTTGGAACCGTGAATCGATCAATGTTAGACACAACATTAGAAACCTGGAAGCACTGGACGGCCGTTTCGTCCTGGTATGGGACTACTCATCAGCAGTGAGCATCCAAGTCTCCTGCACCCCACAGGATTCGAACCCAGGACCTTCGGTACTGTGCGCGAACGCCTAACCATCGGACCACTGAGCCGGTATCTAACGGTGTTAATGTCTAACTTGATCAATTCACGGAGTTGCGCATTAACACCGTTGGGTACCGGCTCAGTGGTCCGATGAATAGGCGTTCGCGCACAATAGTGAAGGTCCTGGGTTCGAATCCTACGGGGTGCAGGGGTCGTGGGTGCTCACTGCTGATGAGTAGTCCCACACCGGGACGAAACGGCCGTCCAGTGCTTCCAGGTTTCTAATGTTGTGTCTAACATTGATCGGTTCATGGTTTCAAAAAAATGTGTAACTTAACAATCTTCACAACCCCGTAATGCAAAAATATGTTATCAGCATAGTATTGTATGCTATAGGCATAGCATGTTAACTGT